AGCTAATCTCCAGTCTTTCGTGTAACCAGATCACTACTCCTCTTATTTCTGGCCCAACATGTATCCTTGCACACATGTGGATCACTCACAATTTTGTACCTTGAAAACATAATATTAGGAAGGAACTCTTCATGGAAGGATAGATGCCATTGGACAGCCCCAGAGAACCAAGGCCATTCCAAATATTTTGGGAAGGAATAGTACCCTATTATTCCAATCTTAATTCAAGTAATTAGTTGTTACCAAAAGCAACTCTAGTAATTGTAATGAGTCAATGGGAAGGTTTCTGTTCAAGGAATTAAAGTAACAAATGCCACTTTATATACATACTTACATGGATGTATGATGTACCCGGGAAGGGGTAAAATGGGGAGGGGAATAGTTGAAAGAGCACTGAATTTGGAATCTAAGGACCTGGGTTCAAAGTCTATCTCTATGTGACCCTAGAGGAGTCATTTAAGTTCTCTCATCCTCAGTTTCTTTATTTGTAAAGTGAAGAGATTGGACTAGATAATCTCTGAGCTCTCTTCTAGTTCTAAATCCATACCACTCTGAATAGAGAGATGCTGGGAATAAAAATGAAAGTCTGGAATCCTTGAATGCAAAGTCTTGTCCATAAAGACCTAAATGAACTAATGCATAATTACCTAAGCAGATCCAGGGGAAAATAAATTCACACAAGGACTACCTGGGAGTAGACTAAATGAACAAACAAATAATAAGACAAAGGTGAATGTTACACAATTATAATGAATAGTTGGCCCTGGAGAAGAGATGAGGAAATGCTCCTCCTTTCTTTCATTAGAGAGGCAGGCGACTGTGGATAGAATATTGCATTAATCTGTTGCTTTTTATGGATGTGTCAATTGATTTTGCTTAATTGGTTTTGCCCTTTGTTTTAAGAGAAGGCTCCCAGGAGTAGGGAAGTGGTGGAAGAGGGATGAGGACAGAAATATCTGGAAATGACTGTGATATAGAAAACAAAAGGCATCAGTACAACCCCCCTTCCTCCTAGATTTATGGTCAAAAATCTCCCTTTACTATTTACTATCCATGCAACTGTGGGTGAGTTATTTAATCTCTCTTGATTTTAGATTCCTCATCTATCAAATGAGGGAGCTGGACAAAATGACCATTGGACGAAGTGACCCCTGAGATTCCTTTCAACTCTAATGCTCTTGCTTGTGTAGAGGGAGTTTTGAGAATATTAGTGAGAGCCTGACTGAACTCCTTATAAGTAGGGTCCATAAAGTGAGTGCTGGGTTTATAGCAATGGGTTCAAATTGTGCTTCTTTGCTTGCTACCTATATGATCATGGGCAAGTCACTGGTATGGTATACATGACTTCTGAAGCTCCATCTGATTCTCAATCCATGATCCTACAATTTGTTGCGGGTGTTATATTCAAAAGCAAGCTCAAAGGCTGCAAGTTAGTAATTATAAGGGGTAGGGACTGGCTTTGTGATTTCCTTGGCATAGGGATTGTCTCCTAGGTGAAGAAACTCCCTCTGCTAGTGCAGATCAGCACCTTTTCTGTAATGATGTCTTAGATTATTGTTGAGAGCTTTGAGAGATTAGGTACCTTGCCCAGGTCACATACACCAACATATGTCAGCGGCAAGATTTGAGAATCCAGGGTGCTCTGGTTTGGAGGTCAGCTTTCAATCAACTCTACTACCCTGTCGCTCGGTTATGGATAAGAAGATGCTAATCATACATGTGGTTTCCTAACATATGGATGAATATGTCCCTGTTTCCTCCTTAGCACCAAGTCCTTTCCCCTTGTAATTGTGCTACACATGGTGGGTAGTAATGAAATCAATACAACATCTTAGGGAGACTCCTAGTGCTATTTTTCTGTTAGGAGTAGAGGATTTTAAAAAATTCCTATGATGCCTTACTCATTTCAGGACTTAAAAACACTTGGCTAGCTATAGAGCAACTTACTTCACTTTCCTAAAAATACCCCAGAGTAACACATTTGGAGAAGGTGTGATCTAGCCACCCACTGCCATATGTCTCTAGCTTTTATTCCTTTCTCCACTCAGAGTTTCCACATACACTCAGATCTTCTCTATCTCTGTTCCCTGTCTCTGACTTCATCTCTGTCTCTTTCTGTTTCTTTTCTCTGTCTCTATTTGACTCTCCCTCCCCACCTCATTCTTGCTCTTTCTCTTTTTTCTCTTTCTCTCCTTTCTCTCTCTCCCTCTCTCCTTCTCCCCTTCCTCTTTCTTTTCCTGTTTCTCTCTCACTCTTTCCTCTCTCTCCTCCCTCTCCTCCCTATCTTTTTCTTTCCCCTCCCTCGCTCCCTCCTTCCTTCCTCTGTGTTCTCCCCTCTCTTTCTTTTCCTTCTTCCTCTCTTCCAGTGAAAAAAATTACTGCCTTTGGAGTTAGAGGAGCTGGGTTCAAATCCAACCTCTGACACTCATTACCTGTGTGAACTTGGTAAGTTACTTTGACCTCCAAGGGCCTCAATTTCCTCAACTGTATAATGAGTGAGTTGGAGTTCAGTAAATGGCCTCTGGGTTCTCTTCCAATTCATACAACAAAACACATTCCATGTCTACTATGTGCTAAGAATTGTACTTGCTATAGAGGGAGATTCAAGATTTATATTAGATGTGGCCCCCTCTCCTCTTGAAGCTAACTATCTTTTGGAGGAATAAGATAGAATGAATGAATGAAATAAATGGAAAAGCATTTATTAAGTGCTTATCATGTCCAAGGCACTGTGGTAAATGCTAGAGATACAAAGAGAAAAGTAAGACAGTCCCTGCTTTGAAGGCAATCACATTCTAGGGGAAGGTAACCCATTTAGAAGGTTTCAGCTGTTAAGTCAAATGGCAAGGCCCAGTGGCAGTCCTTAGGGCATAGCAGCAAGGCAGATGGCAATGTATCTTCTTTTCTGTCATTTCCATTAACAAAACTATATTTCTTTCTCGTATTGAATCATTTGATGATGCCAAGGACTTGGGCAGTAAGAAGTTTGTTTTCTGGGCCTTTAGCAGCTGTGGTTTCTGGGAAGCTGGGGGCTTCAGCCCCTCCAAAGAAGAAACTGGCAGTTCTCACCTTTGTAGGGGCTGCTTCCTTGGGTGATGAACATAGGAACAGGCTAAAATCAGGACCAGGGGTCTATCAGAGCTCTTGGGCTTAACTGCCCATGAATTACAATTGGTGGGCTGTTGACATTGGTTATGGTGGAGGCAGGGATGACAGGCCCCATGGGGAATGCTTCCATGGATGATGGGAGTGGCTTTATAGCTACTTGTCCCAAGACTGTGTCTATTTGAACTCTATCAATTATTAAATGAGAAGTAGGAAAGTAGTAGTAGTAGTAGTAATAATAATGATAATAATAGCAGTGTTTTAAGCCTTACAGAGCCCTTTATATACATTAACCTGACATATAGAAGCACAGATAAGTAAAACACATTATTACATATGTTCTAGAGAGCTGCCAGACAATGCTCTATGAGAAGCCTGAGGGAGAAGGTCATGAAAACAATAACCCATTTATATCAAGCTTTACAAGGTTCTTTCTTTCTACCAACCCTGTTAAGGAGATAATGCAATTATTATTACCATTCCAATTTTATGCATGATGGAACTATGATTCAGTGAGGTTGTGACTTGTCCAAGGTCACATAGCTAAGGTAAATTCTCAGTATTATCTGAGGGTGCAGAAGAAGCAGCTGGTTAATATCAGCATCTAAAGTGAAAAAAAAAACAAGTGAAGAAGGATGAGCTAATTATAATGTTGTTGTAGCTGTATTATTTTTATCCTTTCCAGAAATGACAAGAAGGCTAGACTTGGTTTCCTGCTTGGATGTTAATCTAGTCCAAATCATCTATCTTTTTATCTCTTAGACCCTGGGAGTGAGTTTTATGAGGGGAGGGTACTTGTGGTTTTTCATCATAGCATCCTAGATTTGGAAGGAACCCTAGGAAGCCATGTAGTTTAACCCCCTTGCCATGCAGATGAAGAAGTTAAGGACCTAAAAGCTTAAATTTCCTATAGTCAGAGGCAGGACAGGGTATCAGGTGCAGAATTTAAACTTGGGTCCTCATACTCCAAATATGGCATTCTTTGCAATGTATCTTTACTGTACCTCTTCACTCAACTGTCCATGTTGCTTCATAGCTTAGATGTGCTAAATTATATTGGCTTGTAAGAGACATAATAAGCCAAAAAAAATATCCAGAGTCAGTCTTACTTTAATGCAGACTTAACATATGGGGGATATGGTGTCGAGGGCTAACCACGGTCTCCTCTCACCCTTTCTCCCTCTATACATATAGTCTTCTCGAGATCATATAGACCTGTTGATCTGAGCAGGCCTTGAACTCAGGCAATTCATTGCCTGTAGTGCAGGTTTCATCCTTGAATATTTGTACTAGTTAGTCCTGCAGACATTATTGTAATGAGACCTGAACCTATCTTAATAATATATCAGACAGACAAGTAGGCCTCCTCATGTGGGTTCATACTCCCCTGGGACATAGACAAGATTATTGTTATTGCTGTTGTTGTTTAGTCACTTCCAACTCTTTGTGACCTTATTTAGGGTTTTCTTGGCAAAGATACTGGAGTGGTCTGCCATTTCCTTCTCCAGCTCATTTTACAGATGAGGAAATTGAGGCAAACTGGGTTGAGTGACAGGGCAGATTTGAACCCAGGTATTCCTGACTCCAGGCCCCATGTTCTATCCACTGCGTCACCTAGATTTCCCCTTCAAAAACCTGAGGGTCATCCACAGCCTCCAGAAAGAACTCAAGAATTCACAAATTAGGAATACACAGGACAAGGTACCAAAAAAGCCTTAAGAAGGGTGCCAGATATATGAATTCTGCAAGGTGAAGGCAATTCAGCACCTATTGCACAAACCCTGAAAGAAATCGTTAATCTGGGAAACCAGAAACCTTGGAGACAGTAACCAGGAATAAAGAAACTTGCTATAGGTTATTTATAGTTCTCTGGCGGCATAAACACCAGCCCCTACCTTTGATAAGCGGAGCTGTCCTTGGTGTCCTCTGGACAGGTGGTGGCACTAGCCACTGGCATCATTTGTCTGTGTCTAGGAACACCCAGGAAATGAAGAAGTGAAAGCTGCATGTAGCACTCCTCCATTCCGATTTTCATCCACAGATGCATAGGCAGGAGGGGAAAAAATGGATGTAAATCTTTAGCTACAAGCAAAGGGCTTAAAAAGGCAGCATCACTGAGGGTCCAGGGAGTGACAGCAGCAGGGCCAGCTGCCTAAAGGAACGGGTCCTACTATGTAGCTCTCTCACGTATTTGGTATTTTTCCACAACAAATAGAAACGGAGACCTTGTCCGCTTTGGAGCCACACAGCCGGCAGCATCAAGGACACATCAGCCTGTGGGGAGCCAAAGCAAACAAGGAGGGGTGGAGTTGGGACTTTCAAGTTTCCATAAGCTGTGACCTCCCAGGAGAGGTTTCAAGGTGGTTAATATTCACCAGGTACCCAGGAAATCAATTGCTGTATGAGAGAAGGAAGTCCAGGGGCAGCAGGTCACCAAACATGACACGTCCCCTGCAGGTCCATGAGGGAATTCTACTGTACAAATGGCAGAAATGCTTGCAGATCCAGACCCAGATCACGGTGGCAGGCCCCAAGAGAAGTGCAGCAGAAATTGTTGAAGGACAGGGAACTTTTCTCCTGTAGGCACAGCATCACTGAAGAAAAACCTTCATTCAGTCAAGGAGTTCTTTCTCTCACCACTCTTTGCCAGAAGAGTTCAGAATGATGTATGGGTGTTACCTGCTCACAATGGCAATATGGGGTAGTAGAAAGAGACATGAATCTGGAGGGACTCCGGGTGTGGAACATTGCATACACTGTTGTTTAGTTTTGCTGATCTGCTTTTCATTCTTCTTTCATTTTTTTCCTCTTTGTTACAAAGGATGGTTTGCTGGATAAGGGAAGGAGGAGGGATATATTTAGAAATGAAACAGCATTGTAAGGTAGAAAGAGCTTTGTTTCTAGGGTCACAGGACCCGGATTGAATTCTCATGCTTTCTGTTGACTACTTTTATGGTCTTAATCAGTCACTTAGCTACCCTTGGCCTTAATTACCCCATCTGTAAAATGAAGGAATTAGAAAAGATGATTTCTGAGTTTTTTTCTACTTCTGAATTTATGTAAAAAAACAAAAGTTATCAATATTTTTTTAATTTAAAAAACACTGTATTTGGAATCACAAGATGGGTTAAGAGCTTGGCTCTGCTTTTTATTACTCAGCTGACTTTAAGAATGTGACTTCAAATTCTTCACCTATAAAATGGGGAGCTTGTATTCCTAGCACCTAGCACAGTGCTCAACATATTCTAGGTGTTTAATAATTGCCTGCTTGCTTAATTGATTGGTTTATAGATGATATGCAGGGTTCCTTTCAGCCCTAAATCTGTGATCCCTGGAGTATAAAAGACATGATGAAAGCTTAGGTCTTCCTGAATTCCCCACTGAAATGTTATATCCCGAAGTCTGCATAGTCTCTTTTACAGTGTCTCACTTTCCCAGGAGGCAGGGACATGTAGTTTAGAATACCCAATCAAATCCTTTACCCCAAAATGTCCTGTGGCAAGACAAATTTTGGCCTCTCCACAAAGAATTCCTGCATATAAACTCAACCAGATACAGATGAGTAGATTGGGGTGCAGTTCAGCACTTCTTCCAGTTGCCTGGAGCATTAGGCTTGGCCAGAGTTGAAAATAGTAGGTGTTAGAGTTGAACCCAGTCTTCCTGACTCTGAGGCCAAGTCCCTATCCACTATACATTACTCCCTTTCATTAAAATAAATACAAGGTGATTTGAGTGAGGGGAAGGTGCTAGCCTTGGGGGAAATCATGAAAGGGCTTCATGTGGAAAATGGAGTGTAACCTGAGTCTTGAAGGAAACTAGGTGTTATAAGAGGCAGAGGTGAGTAGGGAATGTATTGCTGGCATGGGAGAGGTGAGTGGGTAGCCTGTGCAAAGGCAATGGAGAGGTAAAATGGAGTGTTGTGTATGAAGATCAATAAGAAGACCAGCTTGACTTGATTGTAGAGTGTGGGAAGAGCAATTAAGTCAAATGAAGTAGGAAAGGTAGGTTGGAGTCAGATTGTAAAGGACTTTGAATACAGAGGAGTCTGTATTGGATCCTAGAGGCAATAGACAACCATTGGAGTATATATTGAGCATGGTCAGATCTGGGCTTTGGGTAAATCATTTTGATAGTTGTGGGTAGAGTGGATTGTAGTGGGGTTAGATTAGGTTACTTCTTACAATAGTCTGGGTCAGAGGTGATGAGGGACTGAATTAAGGTGATATCTATGTAGACAGAGAAAAGAGGATGAATTCGAAAGATGTCACAGAGGTTGAAAAAACAAAATTTGGCAATTGATGAGATAGACTGAATCCCTCTTCTAGGAGACAACCCTTTAAATACTTAAGACATAACTACCATGTTCTTCCTAAATCTTCTCTTCTTCAAGCTAAACAGTCATAGTTCTTTCAATCAGTCCTTAAGTAGTATTTACTGGAGTCTTTCCTCATTCTGGCTGCCCTTCTCTAAATGTTCTCTATGTCATTAATATCCTTTGTTAAGAAAGGAAAAAAGGTTAGTGTGATGTGATCTGTTCTCAACAAGGCAATGACGGCTCTTTGTCATCACCACCTCTTTTTCTAAGTGTTCAAAACTATTTCCTTAAGAACACAGTCAAGAATTTTGCCAGAAATCAAAGTTAAACTCACTATAGCATTCAGGACCAAGCATAATACTCCATCTCTGGTCTGCCTAGAGCAGACTACAAGGACACTATTGCTTTCAGTTTCTGGAAGTTATATTTTTCTTAATGCTGCCTAAAATTGCATTCTTTTTGGCTGCCATACTATACTCTTAAAATATATTGAGCCTGTAGTCCACTAAAGCCCCTAGATATTTTTAGATGACCTGTTGTCTAGACAAGCTTCCCTCATCTTGCACTTGTTCAAGTGATTTTTTGACCCCAAGTGTAAAATTTTATATGTATCCCTATTAAATTTCATCTTATTCATTTTAACCCAGTGATCTAGATTGTCAAGATCCATTTGAATCCTTGCCCTGTATCCAGTGTTTTAGCTATCTTTTTTAGTCATGAAAGTTTTGTGAGCATGCCATTTATGTCTTTATCTGTAACATCAATAAAACTGTTCATTAGCACAGGGCCAAGCACAGATCCCTGAGGTACTCCAATGGAGACCAAGTTGACATCAAACCATTAATTGCTACTTTTTGGGCCTGAACGTTCAATGAATTCTTTATGCATCGAAATGTATTATCACATATTCCTTAACATTCCATATCTTCCATAAAATCATGAAGATTTTTATCATATACCTTGCTAAAATCTAGGTAAATTCTATCTATATAATTTCCCTAATCTACCAGTTTAGTATTGTCGTTTTGTCCTTCATTCTGGAAGAGGGTCATGCCATCAGGAAGCTGATGTCATGACTTACAAGTGAATTGTATTTAAGTGAGGGAGGGCTGTGAAAAGTCACCAGCCTCACTTTCTCCTCTAGAGCCATCTGGGTCTAGGGGCAAGATATAGATCAGGACAATTGGAGATGGCCTATGATGCAGTGGGAGATCTTGGCCTTTTTAAGCTAAGGTCATTCCAAGGTCTCAGTGTGACTGAGGCAATGCTCAGTCAGTGATTGGGCTTGGTAAGAACTGAGGCAGAGAATGCCCTCTCTGACCTAGTGAAAAAAAATCAATCTAGGAGGGGAAGACCCTCAGGATTTCTGGCCAAAACAGAAACAATTGTTATTTACATTTGCTCTGAGCCATCAGGACCCAAACAATGATCACTAAGTGGGGCTTGGATGAGGACCTATTGTTGGCCAATCAAAGAGAGCCAGAGTGAATTGAGTTTAAGGCATGGTCCTTAAGAAAGAAATCTAGTCCATAAACCTTAAGATATCTTGTGAGGTTTCAGCCATCAGAATTTATATTCCTTTGGGCAGAGTACCCACAGGTAAGGGCATGCTACTCCATGTAGACAGATGGAGAGGAAGGAGGGAAGGGGAAGGGAAAGAGGAGGAGAGGAGAGGAGCTACTCATAGTTGTTGTTTGTCTTTAGTTCTTGAAGAGGACCATGACATCAATCAGGGGGGTGGTGCCATGACTTGCAAATGAATTGTATTTAAGGGAGGGAGGGCTTTGTAAAGTCACCAGCCTCACTTTCTCCTCTGGAGCCATTTGGGTCCACTGGTGAGATGTAGGTCAGGATGACCCCACACCAGTATAGTAACTCTATCAATAAAGGAAATAGACCTGTTCTCAGTAAGGCCCTGCTGGTTCTTTGTAATCACCATCTCTTTTTCTAAATGTTCACCATTTCCTTAATAATAATCTACAATTTTGCCAGAAATCAAAGTTAAGTTCAGTAACCTATAGCTAGAAGACTCCTTTCTCTTCTCTTTTTAGAAAATCAAGACTTTCCCCTTCTCCAATCCTTCAGTTCCCTTCTGGTTTTCCATGACCGTTTAGACACAGGGTCCTTTCAGTGTTTCAGCAGTTAAATCATCCTAGTCCATTGCCTGGTATATAACATTAGTGCTTGTTGATGGATTAATTGTTGAGTTCTTTCAGTACTTCAGGCTATTATTGTTTTTCGTTAGGTGACTATCCAAATCTCAACATTGACTTCACAGTCACACCACAGTATTAGTGGTGGGTTTTCCAGGATTTGGTGGGATGGTAGGGTAATGTGTGTTTTCAGTTGGAGTTACAATTAGAAAAGAAAGATTCCAACTCTTCTTTCAAGTGGTTTATGCTGGGCAAATTAGGGGCAAGGGAGTGCATGAAAGAGTAGTGCAGAAGGGCACGTTACCCTAGAGGGCCCTGGCAGTAGCAACCAAGTCCAAAACCCTGAGATATCTGCACTTGATTTCCTGGCCATACATCCTAGGGACATTTTTTATCACGGTAGGACTTACTGGCTATGCCTACAGATTCCAAGCTTGCATTGGATATGAATGGGAGTCAGCATCTCCTTCGGCTATCCACTTCCTTCTTTACTTTTCTGTAAATATGTCCTTGAGTTCATCATGTGTCTACAAACCCGGGGGAGACATGGAGAGGGTGGTGTTGCTGAAAACATTGTCAAGAGCCACCAAGCCCAGAAATCCATAAATCCTCTGGGTGTCATAGGGATGATTCTCATGGCAAAGGGCCATTCATACCATCATTTCCATCTTCTTTAATGCTAATTACT